TCTTGTTGAAACACCCATTTCAAGAGCTTTTCCTCTTCGGCATAAGGCAACATGACCTCTTCAAGTATTTTGATATATTCATGATCCCTGATATGCGATAAATAGACCCAACACTATAGTATGAGAACCATCCCCATACCATGATGCTTGCGCAACCATACTTCACTGTCTTCACAGTGTACTGTGGCTTGAATTAAGTGTCTGCGGCCCCTACACCCAAAAAGAACAATCTTGCTTTCATCAGTCTACAAAATGTTCCACCATTTCTGTTTAGGCCAGTCAATGAGTTCTTCGGCAAATTGTAACCTCTTCAGCACGTTGTTTTTCCAACAATGGGACTTTGTGAGGGCCTCTTGTTGATAGCTTAGCTGATCACATAAGCGTCTTCTAATCGTTACAGTACTCACAGGTAACTTTAGACCTTCTTTGATCACCCTGGAGCTGATCATTGGCTTTGCCATTTTGGCTATTCTTCTATCCATTCGAATGTTAGTTTTCCATTTTCTTCCACATCTTTCTGGTTTTGGTTGCCATTTTAAAGCATTTGTGATCATTTTAGCTGAGCAACCTATCATTTTCTACACTTCTTTATATGTTTTCACCTCTCCAATCAACTTTTTAATCAAAGTACGCTGTTCTTCTAGACAATGTCTGGAACGACCCATTTTATCCAGATTTTCAGAAAGAAATGCACTCTATCCAGCATGTACATTTGTTGCCTTCATCCTTAAAAAAGGCCCCATTTGACACCTGTGTTTTTACAGACTGAATGACCTCACTAAGACTACTTTCACACTGATCCGCAGCAAAAACAGAGAAAAAACACATAGGCATTTTACCACATTTTTACAGCTCTTTTTGGGCATTTTTAAAAAAGACACATGACTTAAAAAACACCAAAAATGCTTTTCAGAGCCGTTTTTGAGGCGTTTTCCATTGATTTCAATGGGAAGAGGAGTTTTTGGGGTTCTTTTTAACTTCCCAAACATGCCCCAAAGCGCAACGCCTCAGTGTGGACACATACATAGATATCTTGAGCTTTTCAGGCGCTTTTTTTTTTTAACGCAAAAACGCTTGAAAAGCTCCTCAGTGTGAAAGCAGCCTAATAGAACTCCACACTGCTATTATTTTGAACATGCCACTTTCGGTTAATGATTCAATTACACAGAATCAGCAGCATGCATGTCATGACTGTTTGGTCTGTTGGATTTCTATTACTCTACTACACTTATTAGTAAATTATTTGCCATGTAGAAATATCATTTCTACCAAAAACAGTGATTGATCAGGTTAGTGATGTCTGACTGCTATTATTTTGAACACAACTGTATGACACCATTGTATCTGAGGCTGTTTGTCACTATGCATTTGGGATGTTTTTTTTTCTTTATGGCCCAAATCATTTTATAATATTTTTACAGTTTTGTAGAACATAATGATGATAACTGGGACTCCCCCCATTAGTGTCTTGGATGTTTGGGATTTATCCTGTTGGGGAAGTACTCTCCCTCTAGGATGTTAACCACTTGACCTCTGGAAAGTTGTACCCCCTACAAGAAGCACATGGTTAACTTAATTATGATCCCAAGGGTTTAAAGGAGGACTGCAGACATTAACTTCGTGACCAGGCCATTTTTTATTTGCTATTCAGCACTGTGCTACATAAACTGGCAATTGCTTGGTCATGTAACACTGTACCATAAAGACATTTTGTTTCACACAAAAAGAGCTTTCTTTTGGTGGTATTTAATCACCACTAGGTTTATTTTTTGCTATACAAACAAAAAACCCCACAAATGTTTAAAAAAAAACAAAACTTTTTTTCTTAGCTTGTTATAGAACTAAAAATTTAGGTCAAATTGTATTCTGCTATATTCCTTTGGTAAAAATAACCCAAATCGGTTGAGGTTAGTCTGTGTGAAAGTTATACAGAGTCTAAAAACTATGGTGTATATATTTAAAAATGGATCAGATCTGATGTACTGACAGCCTCCCATTTCTTGAGGCCCTACAATGCCAGGAAAGTACAAAAAGACCACTTTTGAGAAAGTAGACAGCTCGAGATATTTAGTAGGAGGCATGGTAATTTTTATGAAGTTATAATTTTTTTGAAAATTAAGAAATTAGCCACTTGCCCGCCCCCCTTTAGCAGAAACACGGCTACAAGGCGGCAGGGCTGCGCAAAATCATGTGTGTATATATATATATATATATATATATATATATATATATATATATATATATATACGCGTGATTTGCATTTCCAAGTAGGGAGCATGTGCGCGCATGTATGCCCTACCCACGTTGCCATTGGCGGCTAGGCATGTCCCGGTCAGAGATTCTCCGCTGACACCTGGCGATCGCTGTGCAAAGCGGACAGGGGAGAGACTAGTGTGTAAACAGGTCTCTCTCCTGCCAGCAAGGACGTGCTGTTTTGTATTTCTCTGCTGTGCAGAGAAATACAAAACAGCATGTCTCCAAGGTAAAACAGCAGTTAACCCTTGGATCACCCAAAAGTTAACCCCTTCCTGCCCAGTGTCATTAGTACAGTGTCAGTGATTTTTTTTTTTTTATTAGATGTCAGTGGCAGTTAGTCAGTTTCCACCCAGTGTCAGAATGCCTGCCGTAGTCCTATTATAAGTCGCTGATCGCCACCATTGCTAGTATAAATAACATAAAAATTCCAGTATTCCAGGGAAAAAAAAAAAAAAAAAAGACAAATTTAATTTATGTACAGCATTGCATGGTCGCTCAATTGTCAGTTAAAGTAATGCAGCGCGGTATCCCAAAAAATTGCCTGGTCAGGAGGGGGGGGGGGGGGGGGGGGGGGGATCCTCAGGAGGACAAGTGGTTAACACCACTTGCCTACTGGGCACTTTTACCCCCTTCCTGCCCAGGCCAATTTTCAGCTCTCTCGCACTTTGAATGACAATTGTGTGGTCATGCAACACTGTACACAAACTCAATTTTTATAATTTTTTTGAGATAGATGGAGCTTTCTTTTGGTGGTATTTAATCACCTCTAGATTTTTTCTTTTTTGCTAAACAAACTAAAAAGTCTGAGAACTTTGGAGAAAGTTTTTTTTTTTTCTTAGTTTCGGTTATAAAATTTTGTAAATAAGTATTTTTCCTTCACTGATGTGCACTAATGAGGCTGCAATGATGGGCACTGACAGGTGGCACTTAAAGGTAGCTCTGATCCACACTGATAAGGCTACACTAATCATCAAGGCACTGATGATCAGTGTACATGTCCACTGAGTAATGCCAGCTCTCCTCTCCTCACACTGAGAGCACGTGAGAGGACTGCCAATAGCCGGCATTCCCTATTTACATGCGATCACCTGTGATTGGACACAGCTGATCACATGATAGAGCCTACGTCATCGGCTCTATACTGTGATCGGTGATCCGCTGTGTCCCAGGGACACAGCACACCAATCGCCACGTGCCCCCAGGGGTGCGCATACGCTAGTGTGGGAGGACATCATATGACATCCTCGCACAAGAGAACCGCCGCCTGTCCATTTCCTTATATGGGGGGCGGGAGGCGGTTAAAAAAGTTTTTTTTTCTTTTATATATGGTCACCAGTGCAGTACAGTCTCATCATACGACTGTGTGACGCTGATCAGGGATACTGATAACTGTTATAAGCAATAGTTTTAGCTGTCATGAATGAGTTTCCATATGTCACAGTTTAGCTACTATTGCCATGTTGTGACTGGCCACAGCTAATCACATGGTACAGGTAGCCAGGTACCATTTGATAGCTGTGAGTCAAGCACAGCACCACAACAGTAGTCAAGCTGAAAGGAAAACTCATTCATGAGTTTTCCTACATAAAATACCAAGTGATCGCTATATTTGGCCATAGAGAGCACATGATACCCGGTTGCTCCTAAGGGCCAGGTACTGAACGCCTTAATCTGCTGTGTCTACCGGGCACAGTAGTCAGTAGAGCGCGCCGCTGCACACCAGTGCGCATGTACCAGACAACTTACCAGTACGTTGCCCACCTAAACTGTGCCACTCGCACTGAAGCTACTGTGGGTGGGTGACAAGTGGTTAGAGTTCCATATTTTCACAGTATTTGATTACAAAGCCAATTTTGTAATAACCATGTTTACGGTTGATTCGTGGGTGACATCGACTACGTGTTCCTTTTGTCATATCCTGCTGTGCCCCTTTATGGCACCACTGACAACTTTTCAATCATTATTGATGGCGAGACCGTTTAACTGCAATTTAAAAAAGGTACAGTAGTCTTTCATGCAGAATCAGTGAATTGTATTTTGCACATTATGGTTTTTTTTGTTTAGTTACTATGACCTGTTCATTTATATTGTAGACATGAAAACATGTTGGATTCCATATATAATCAACTATCAAAGTTTGATGGTAAATGATATCAATCATATGATATATGTGCACTATGGTGGTTATGCCAAGTATCACTAAGATATCAGCCAATGTGATTTAGTTTGATTATTTTCATCATATCTCATAAAACACTTAAAAAATTCCCATCTGGGGTATAATAGCTTTTGGGTATAATAATAGATAACTAGCAATACCAAATTAAAGGAATTACCTTCTAGTTCGAGTTACTGGCAGCACAGTGCATACAAGAAATGTGTTTTACCAGGACTATCAAGTAGTTGTCAGTCTGGAGTAGCTGTGCAAGGCTAAGTAAGTGACACAGTAATATATTTATCATATACAGACCTTTAATATCACTATTACAATCCTTCACAAATCACATTGCAATGACACAGAAGCACACGGTGAGACTATGATCATACTGGGCTTCCTCCGATTTTTCATTTCTAAGTAAAGGGGAAGTGGAGCAAGGAATGGACTGGCAATTACATACAATGATCAATATCAAATACACGTGTAGTTTGGTCCCGAAAAAGTAAAATATAACCATATTCTGCAAACATAGCTTCTCTGAGATTAAAATATTGGAAGTGTCATGTTTTTCTGTTGTTGTTTCCTTTCAGTGAACTAGTGGAGACTGCTTGAGAGATATCAGGACTGAACGCATACGGGAGACATCTTTTGCCTGCTTGCTAGACTTGGGGTTAAAGTCACAAAGACGAGCCACTCGTTCCCATTCTGTCCCCGGGGTTGATTCATCAACGTCGCTTACAAATGCCTCCTCAGCAGCCCTGGAATTAGCAAGGAATTTATTAGAAAATGTGAACAAATGGAATCTAAACATTTTACAGTTTTATTCTCTGGATAATAGAACGGTCGACTTCAAAACAAACTATGTCTATAATATAGTTATGAAAGCAACGGAAGACTGCTGGCTCTCACAGCTAATCACGCCAAAACACATGTAATTACCCTTGACATAGAAAGCCTGAGTGGGTGCGATTAGCTATGAGTGCCAGCAGCCTCCCATTGCTTTCATTGGGGTTGCCTACTTACGGAACCCCCACTGGGGTTCTCACAGCCTATTGCGGACAGGGTGCAAGTGTGAATGCACCCTAAAGCTCCAAACTATCCTCTATTACGCCCAACTACAATGATACTTGCTGAGACTTGGATATCAAATCTACGTTTGCAAAATTGTACTTTTCTGATAGTTTCCTTTATATAAATGTCCACATTGAATGTACTTTGATTATGCATATCTCTGGAAAGCGTACATTTTCTTCAAGATGGACTGTGCCCTACATATTTATTTTCTAATGTATATCTATACTGTATATGCTGCCATGAAATACGTGAGAATCCAAACAAATATTCTAATAATTTTAGGAAACTCTGGACATTGTAGTTACCTTAAAGGGTCAGTTCACAACTGCCTATGCAAATAAGGGACCACTGTAGATAAAAAACACAAACTATTCAGCTTTAGTCAGAGCTGCACAATGCCCTAGGTGTAGGCAATTTACGTACTTCATGAAGCCTGACTGGAAAAGTCCCTGGACATTGCTAGGGCATTGATAAGGTAGGCCCAGCTATTACTATTCACCTTCATCATCAGAGGAGTGAGCGCAGAGCTGCTGCATCATGGGAGAGACAGCACATGTGAAGAGGTTTGAATCCAGAGAAAAAGCTCACTCCTGTGATGGTGGAGGTGAGCAGTAAAAGCTGGTTCTCCCTTCTCAATGCCCTAGCAACATCCTGGGAGTATTCCAGTCAGGCTTCATGAGGTATGCAAATGTCCTACACCTATAGCAAGGGTCTAATTCAACTTTGGGGCAGCACAGTGGCTTAGTGGTTAGCACGTCTGCCATGCAGTAAAGTGGGTCATGGGTTCAATTCCCAACCAAGGCGCCTCCTGCATGGAGTTTGCATGTTCTCCCTGTGCTTGCGTGGGTTTCCTCCCACACTCCAAAGACATGCTGGTAGGTTAATTGGCTCCTGTCTAAATTTCCTAATTTCATCCCTGGCCATGCGGGATCTCCTGCATGGTAGGGGAAAGACCTGGCAACCTACCCTGTAAAATAATTGCTAAGAGAATTCATGGAAAAAGTCGCTTACGAGTGACGGGAGATTTATGTTTAAGGCAGCATATTAGAGGAAAAAAAAAAAAAAATCTTTATACACACACACACACACACTACTATATATATATATACACATACATATACACACATATACACACACATACACACACACTTTCAAGGGTGACGGTGTGACTTTATGCTATAGGGTATATTCTTTATTTAGGTTGATACCGTAATTATATATACATAGGTCCATGCAATCACCAAGGGTCGGATACGACTGAATAGATAGATAGATAGATCGAATTCAACTTTAGTGAAAGTCACACAGCTTGTTTTTATCTACAGACATCCCTTATCTTAACAGGTAGTTGTTTGGTAAAGGTGAACTAACCCTTTAACACAAGCAGTCTTTCAATTGTATGGTTCTAAATAAACAGCCACAGTCCCTTTAAAGGCACTATGTTTATAGTAATCTATTGCACCTGGTTAGTTCCCTGATGTGGCGGGTGCATTTGTAGCCTTTTTTCAGACTTGTTGCATTTATCATCACCTAGTGATCCTACCAGTTACACTCCCTGTCCTAGACTGACGTCACTCACTCAGTGTACTGCATCTATGGAGAAGCAAGGCTGTTATCCAAGGCAGCTCTCCATCTATGTAGAAATGGTGTTGTCACCCTAGGCTGCTCTTCTGATTTTGGATTGCCTTCGCCTCTTCTGTCCATAACATAGGGTGAATTATTCTGTAGCCCACAGCAAAGAACTTGAAACACCAATAAACATTATTCAATACTGTACACAGTTACAAGGAACATTGGATTTCTTGCAGGTTTTTTTGTACTTCACATGAAAAAAAGAAGCTGCAATATATTAATTTTATTGTTCTTGGGTTTAAATACATTAACGTCTTCCCACCAGCCCACTGCAGCCCTTTAACGGGGTCTTAAGGCAGGTGGGGCGGACGTATTGATCGTGTTACAACTGACTGGATGTCACATGATCGGAAGCCCGTCCCAACAGTTCACAATTATAACTAGAGACCAGGATCTGTCAGCGACAGCTCAGTCACTATGCTACCAACGCACAGTAGGTAGGCTCTCGGCAAATAAACCTTAGCCACCAAGGACACATATGTGCAGCGTACGGGTGTTAAGGCTCACCTTACTTGCAGCTGCACATATGTGGTTGGCAAGAGATTTAACAAATTTGAGCTGCAAACAATTCTGGAGTGTGTAGCTTCTTATTCGTAACTATGTGAGGTTAAAATGGGTGGGAAGGTAAAGCCTACGAGGAGGAACACTTTCTCTTTGTCAAATCCTTAACAGCCAAGTCATACCCACCATATATCTGCCACATCCCTCATAACAAAAAATTCTGATGTGGACAAATCCATGCATTTTAAGCCCAGCACACTACATTGCTATAGATTTAAAAAAAACACACAAACTAAATCTGTAAAGGCAGATTTTCTCTGCAACATACTTCATTATTTCATCATACAAAATAATATCAATAGAGCACAGCGGAAGCTAAAATTGGAGCTGATTTTAGAACACACAAAGCATCTATATTATACTTTAACAGAGAACATAGGTATTGGTGTTGTACAGCCACAGAGACTGATCTTCCATTTTCAAACCTGCTCCAGAATGAAAGCTATAATCTCACTGGCTGCTAAGACTTTTTCCTCTCCTCCACTTGCACAGTCAGGAATAAAAGTATAGTAGGAGCCATTTTCAAAAAGATTAGCAGACATGTATAGCAGACAAGCAGCAAACCTACAACTGTTTGCACCCAACTACTCTAAAAAACTAACTTAGTCTTGTTGCATTTACCTAATCATGAAGGTTTTTGGATAATCTAAAAAGCTTCTAGTATTCTAATCTACAAAGCCTAGCAGTTAAAGCCACCCAACAAATGCCCTCATTTTACAAAAGCATCCAAACCATTTTTATTTAATGTTAAAACAAGCACAAAACAGATAAAAGGAAATGCAACATGTAGATAATCCAGGAAAAGCAAACTGAAGATCTACAATGAAGATGGGCATTTCATGATGAGGCATGGACACATCTGGATTCAGGACGGGCAACATCACTGCAGACAGGTCACTACGACACTAGCACTAACCATGGGACAGACAGGTTAGGGGGGCAGTGAGAAGAGTTTACTTAACTGTTCTAGGCTGTAGCAAGGATGGTTTATGTTTGTGCTTAAAAGGTGAAGAGAAGAAATAAAAAACAAGAAGAAAAAAGTTTAAGTCAGATATAGAAAATGAAAATGAAGTTAATGCTGATGGCAAGCGGGACATGCACAACAGTATTCAGCTGGCATGCTGTCAGGAAACTTTTCTTTAAATACCAGTTCTGCTCAGTGATATGTCTAATAGGAGACTCTAATCTTTGGGCTCAGCAGGGTCTAAAGGAGATTTTTAAGGTTTTCTTTTACGAACACAAAATATTCTGAAACGCACATAAATGCACAATGGTTTCTAATTATCGACATCACAGAAAAAAAAACAAAACGAAACAAAAATAAAACATAAAAAAAACCCCCCAAACAATTTAGATGCACAAGCCTGTTCTCGAGTGCTCAAAACTCCATGCTGAGCTGAAGTGCTTTGAAAGCAGCAATATACTGAATTTTCTGTGTGCTCATAGTTTAGTTTTTATTACAGGGTTTACCAGCTTTTTAAAATATGACCTTCACATTTTTCCATGCTTGTTCTTTCATACATTAGCAGTTTGGGATTGTAAAGCTGTTTTTTCTATACCTACCTACTCTATGCAATAGTACTGCACAGAGCAGCCCCTTACCTCCTCTTCCAGAGTCCCCCGCCGGTGCTGCCCCTTCTCCTCTCCAGTGTGTGTCCCCATAGCAATTTGTGTTCTATTGGGGCACACCTGAAGGCATGCTCTCAAGCCGGGCAATGAGCATCCATAAACACACATAGTGTGACTTGGCCATGCCCCGCTAGCTCCCTCAACAGGTTTTGACTAATAGCAGCATGAGCCAAAGGCTCCCGCTGATCCCCGAGACTCCTGTGAGACTAAGAGGTGAAGAGAAGAGCTGCAACCAAGACCGCTCTGGATTACGAGAAGACTCAGGCAAATGTTTACGAAGGGGGGCAATAAGTGGTAAAACGCTTTTTTTTTTTTACCTTAATGGAGGGAATGTGTTAGCGCAAGAAATATTAATTTTAGAACCCCTTTAAATATAGGGTATTGCAGATTAGTAACTAGAGAACTCTGGCTCAGTGCCATTACTCTCTCTGTTAACAACTGTTGAGGTAAGAGATCAGTCACACAGGGAGATTATTGGTTGTAATGAGCTGGTTGACCTATGGTGGCCATACACACACTTATTTTTTAATCCGATCAATGTGCAAATCCATCAAAATGATTCAAATCAGCAAATAATCAAATACCCAAAACTTCCCTTCCAACTGATTTAGACCGATGTAGATGGGAGTTGAACATGCTAAGTTGATCAGCCGGGGAGAAAAATCATTAGTTTTACATCAATTGGCAGCACTGAGATACTCTGGTCACCTAATTTGATTGTATTTTGATCAATCAGATTATGACATTGCATGGTGGAAACAGATGCGATTGAGAACTTATGAACGTATCTTCCAACTATTGAACAAAATCCAATACCTGTGTGTGGCATATAGATCAATTGTGTTATTGACTATAGACTGAGTATTCCCATATTGGGAAAGATCAATTGGAAAAGAAAACAATTCATTGAAGACTGTATGGCCACCATTATGAACTTGCATTATAAAGGAGGAGCTGTAAAGCACAGCCATGTGTTGTACTGCAAAGCAAGAAACCAAGCCTGCACATGTAATGAGAAATATATGGTACTCTTATGGGCTTCATGCACACAGCAGTTTAGGAACTTACTACAAAGGTCGGAGCATTTATGTGGAACATACAACCAGGTGTTTCCGATCAGATGTGGAAAGGAAGCCTGTACAAATAAATGACAGGCTGACATTGCCAGCATGTAATCGCACATGCAGCAGTTACTTGCGATCAGGGAGGAAATGCGTCCCTAGAGGCTGTACCCACTACAGAAATACATTGATCTAGGCAGTGTACAACCCTAATTGGCCATTTGCATGAATCTTAAACCTTAACAAGTAAAACATTTTTCACACCAAGGTCATTTTTTCCCCCCATATGTTGTCACTTCATTAGGTCCCCATGGACTCTGTCAAATGTGAGAATCGGTGCTCAAGCTTAGCTGGCTCGGATTAGGAAAAAAAAAAAAAAATATCACACTTTGGCAGAGACCATATGATAATTTGCAAGTTGTTTAGGCAACTGTACAGAAGGTAAACTAGACTACAGTTACTGTAGAAGGTAGTTGAAATTGGCTAGGGGTAATATTTTCTTACATCTGCTTTAAAAAAAAAAAAAAAAAAAAAAAAAAAAAAAGACCTCACAGATTTTAATCATACACAACAACCTAATCTAATGAGCCAAAGCAACTGCCGACTATCTCTACAAAGGGACTTCACCATCTGATGACAAGACAACAAAATAAGTACATGTACACAAGCACTTTTCACATTCCAATGAACAGAATTCAGTACATGCTTGTGTATGGGAGGGAAATAGGGAACAACTGGAACCTACAAGTAGTCCCTGATTTTGAAGGCTTGTGTATGCTATGTCAGGTCACACTTCTGGTTTAAAAGATAGGTACACATAAATGAACATATACCCAGCAAAGCTGCACTCCCAGTTGCTCAGATTCAGCATCAACACTTGTTACTCTATACCAAAATACAGGCTAAAAAAAGGTAGGGATGCACCAAAATTGTGGCTGAAAATAGCCCTAAAATCTAGTTGATACAGGGGGTTGTGTGTACTGCAGATATGAGGGGGGGGGGGGGGGAGAGAAAGGGAGGAGAGGAGCAGTGTACACAGTGACTGCCTGTCACTATAGGTCAGTGTCGGTTTTTAAATGTAATTACCGGATTTTTTTTCTCCTCACTATAGCTCAGAGAATTAGCTGTCACTTTCCCCCCAGCTATAAGAAACAGTTTCCTTTTAGTTTATTTCCCCCTGAGTTAAAAGAAACAATGTTTCCTTTTAGTTTCTTTCCCGAGATAAAAGAAACAAAGCTCTGGGGAAAGTGACAGCTAATTCTGTGAGCTATAGTGAAGAAAAAAAAAAAAAGCTGGCAACTGCATTTAAAAATCAGCACTGACATATTGACAGCCAGTGTGGGAGCCTCTCTGTATACACTGCTACCTCACTGTATACACTGCTCCTCTCCCCCCTACAAAGAGGACCTGTCACTCATATGCTATCACATAGGGGACTATTGGTGGTCACAGGTTGGCCTGCATGGGGGGGGGGGGGGGGGGGCAATGTAACTTTTACCCCGAGATGCTGAATTTTCGACTCAATCCTTGGTACATGATTGGCTCAGAACAATAGATGGCAATAAATAATTGTAGTCTGCTTGATGCAAGTCCCAATATGAGGACAGGCTCTACTAATATATTCTAGGACTGCTCCATGCTTATATAAAAGGTATTCAGCAGTGAGGGAGAAAAAGCCCCCTGACAGGATTTTGGGGATGTACTGTATTTCTAGAACTAAACCTGGAAGGAGGAGCATTGGACTTAGCCTTTAACATTACTAGAAGTAATCATCACGTTCTGGTGCTGTTGTATTAAATGGTACAAAGATTCCTGTTTATTGCCTACCTTAAATCTGTACTCAAGGAAAATGGCTAAACACACAGATGATATACATGAAATTGAGCAGTTTTACCCGACAATGCATTTGTATGTCTGTCCATCCAATTCTAAGATATACACAGTACAGCCAGGCGGATAACACTGCTTTGTCTATTTTAGACTGTAGAAGGAATAAAGTAGTGTACTCTTCAACCCATGCCTGTTGACTGGACATGGTCTTTAAAAAAATTAAAAGCAACACACAATGAGCACATCCCCCCAGCGTGTTCCCTGTAACATCTATTTGCATGTAACTCACACAACTGGTTGCCAGTTCTGCCCTCCCTCTCCCAGTCTGAGCTGTATAGGGGAATGGAGGAGGTCAATACCAAATCAAGTCTGAAGGCCAGCTCCAAGGTCTTATTTTTAGTCCAAGGCACAGAAATTGCAAACGCGTTCTATTAGATTTTCAATCAAATTTTTTAACAAATTATTTTGAACACTAGAAGCCTGAAAGGAACATCCGACAGCTGCAAAACAACACCGAAAAAAAGGCACAAACACGTATTACATGCAAATCCTTACGTTTACAACAGACTTTCTAGTAAAGCTATTAATTTAAAGTTGACCTCCAGGCAGACAGCTAAATACACAGATGAAATACATGTATAAAGAGCTGTTTTACCTGCCAAAAAGATGTGCATTCTCTGTCCATTCAGTCCTAAGAGTTAAAAAGTTCTACCACAGAGCGCAATCCTACTGGCAGGGGATGAAGCCTAATCTTTCCCAGTTGCGGTTTTGTTTTTACTAACAATTTTCATCCCCATCCCAACCCTGTGACTGTACAGCAAAAAGAAGGAGAAGCTATCACTCTGCTATATCCTCCTATCAGCACACTCCTTGCACAGCAACACACCTGATTGGCTGCTACACCACAGGAAAAAAGCAGATAAACCCGATGGCATATACAAGCAAACTGAAAGGATATAAGTGATGTATATTAAAAGCTAAATGTTCTCAGTCAGATCAGATACTGACATGCAAATGCATTTCGAGGCCCTGCCTCTATCAAGCCAAAATGCAATGCCATGGAGGTGGCAGGACACTTTTCTTAACCCAGAAGCCCTTGTAGCACTGTCTGTTGGGTTCACTTTTTTTTTTCTACTGATGAAAGATTTGCATTCATTCCTTACCGGTTGCACAGAGATTATGACACAGTCCGTACCTATTCTCACTGAGGACTTTAACCTTCTGTTTGATATCACTTATGAAGTCATACCCTGTCAGTTTGTTTTTACATATGCCATTTGCATTAGTTAGGGTCAGGATCTGAACCTGCAACCTCTGTGGTGTCTGGCTGTGGCTTTTCTCACTGTGTCACCCGAAATGCTGGACAGCTTTAGGTCTGATCCCTTAGGACAATCTTGCCTTGTCTCCGGATCCTAATACTCCTGAACCTATGCAGTCTGATGCTATTAAGAGATCCATTTCAACTCAGGAGAAAGAGA